TTATTGGAGATAAAAGTCTCATGGAGTTTCCTGTCGAGGCTGGCTTTGAACCGCGATGCTCAGATCTTAGCCTCCTGAGTAGCTAGGATTACAGGCGTGAGCCACGGGCGTTCAGCATTGAAAGGTTTTATGGCTTAGTGTGTCCTCAAGTTTTATACCTACTTGCCAGTCCTTGCCATGGTGCCTTCATTGTAGCACAGGCAGTGAGGAGAGATGTCTTTGCTTCAAGGCAGTTTCTTATGAAGATGTCTGTGAATGTTTATAATAAAAGCCTTCCCTATGTAGCCGTTTCTCTCCAAGTGTCAATTTTTTTTCTTTTTCCTTAAGGACTTTGTGAAAACAACATCTATAAAATGGGTATGAATGTTTGGCATATTAAATTTCCATCAAATTCCTTAGTAAGGAAATTACCAAAGACTTAATGATTAGCCTGGATATTACTTCATGAGCTCTTGTATTACAGAGCAATTGTATATTGTTCTTCAGAAAATGCTGCTCTTAAATATATTTTCATCTTTTGGATGCTAACTTCTTGATTCTTCTACTTGTTGCCTAAATTTGACAGATCCTTCTGCCTTCCTCCCTCTCTCCCTTTCTCCCTCTCTCCCTCTTTCCCTCCCACCTTCCTTCCTTCCTTCCCTCTCTTTCTCTCTTTTTCTTTCTTTGTTTGTTTGTTTCTTTCTTTCTCTGTCTCTCTCTTTCTTTCTTTTCTCTTCTTTCTCTCTCTCTTTTTCTTTCTTTCTGTCTTTTTTGCTGGCACTGATGCTTGAATTCAGTGCCTCATGCTCTTGCTTGGATTGTTCCTCAAGGCTGTTATTCTACCACTTGAGCCACAGCTCTACTTCTGGCATTTTGTTGATTAATTGGAAATTAATCTCATAGACTTTTCTGCCCAGGCTGGCCTCAAATTGCAATCCTCAGACCTTATCTTCTTGAGAGTATGGTATAAGAACCATGCCTAGCTCAGATTAATATTTCTTGCTCCCTATTCTATGAGGCTGTTATACTCATTCATTTATTCTTTCTGCTGACATCTCCCAATGATAAAGTCATTGAAATGATAGGATAATTACTCAATAACAATTAATGACCAATATTATGTGATGTTATATGGCAGAGAAAGCACTGTAATGTGTTCTGTTTTCTTAAATTTCCTAGCGTCCTGTGTAGTGGGAATTATATATAGTTATGTTTATAAAACATCAGAGCTCAGAGATTGCTATGGCAACCTTGCCTTAAGCCACAGGGCTAGTTGATTCAAGACTTCTATTAGAAATCTATATTTTCCCTGGTGTATCTTTTGGTTTGAATTATTTGATTTCAATACATCATTTAATGGACTTAATAACTGGCCATTATAATGATGCAGTATTGTTTTGTTAAAGGTTTATGACTATGTAGACACTTTTCATTGAGAAAATCTTTTGAAAATACTTATTAATCAAATGAATGTCATGTGTTGTCTTTAATTTTTATAATTTTACTCAAAAGGTCTCACTTGAAAAAAACGCTATTCAGATGCATAAACTGTTTTCTATAATTATGTGTTTTCTTTTGCAAGCATTTATTACCTAATATTGACCTATTACCTTTTTATTACCTCACATTACCTAATTAATTGACATTAATTGTTGTCTGTTAATCTTTGACCTTTCCATATATTTACTTAATATAGATGTAGTCTTACTCGTTTTCACTAGTTTGTAGATATTGTAGAATTTTCCATGTAAAGTGTATTGTCATCGCAAATAGGGACTTTCTTTTTTTGTGATCTTTATTCTCTTTCTTTCTTTTCTTCTCCATCTACTTCTTGAATTCAGGGCTTGGATGCTGTCCCTGATGTGTTTTTGCTCAAGGCTAGGTCTACCACTTGAGGCATATATCCACTTCCAGGTTTTTAGTGGATAATCGAACATAAAAGTCTCATAGACTTTCCTTGAGGCTGGCTTTAGACATGATCCTCAGATCTCAGTCTCTGGAGTAGCTAAAATGACAGATGTGTGTTGCTGTTTACACAGCGGGATCTGGGAATGCAATGCCTGGTATAGGCAGGAAGGGATTACAACATGCAAGTATAGACAAAGTTTATTGAAACATCACATGCTTATATATAGCACACAAGCAGGAGAAGTAAATCTTCAGTCAGGGGGCAGAGAATTAATCCTAAACATTTTTACGGGAGCACAGACAATTAGAGTTTAACTTTAAGTCAGTAAGCAGGAAAAGCTAATCCTTGTCAACAAATGTGGAGCAGTTCCAGTAATCAAGGTTGTAAAAGTAGATAAAGCACAGGTGAGTACACCAAGGGGGTCTGGAGGCCTTGTTCTATGGGGTTAACTAGGAGAAGCATGAGTGGTACTTTCTGCAAACCATCACCTGAGTCTGGCGCCAAGGTAGCGCTGCATGGAAGAAGGAGTGTCCCTTCCTACCCCAGAAGAATGCATGCCTGCGTGTACCCTCAGGGCACACAGGAGCTCAGGTGGGGTTACCCAGGTCAATGCTTCCGACAGATGTGAGCCAATGGCACCCAGCACTCTTTGTTTCTGCTTATTTTTGTGCCTCATTTCAATGAACATGCTACACTGTAAGGGGCAAATGTTTGAGCTACAGTAGTTATACAGTTCTTGTGACAAAATTCCTTTGTATTGAGATGACACATACAATGTTGGAGAATTTCATTGTTAGAAATGCTTTTAAAATTAACAGTTTTGAATTAATTTTGGGAATGTTAAAGAGTTATTTTTTACATATGTAGAAAGCCTTATGACCTTTTTTTTGGTCGGTTATGAGGCTTGAACTCAGGGCCAGGACACTGCCCTTGAGATTTTTTGCTAACGGCTAGCACTCTACCATTTTAAGCCGCAGCTCCACTTTCAGTTTTCTGGTGGTTAATTGGAGATAAAAGTCTCATGGACTTTCCTCCCTGAACTGGCCTAGAACTGCCATCCTTAGATCTCAGCTTCCTGAGTAGCTAAGATTACAAGTGTGAGTCACCTGCGCTCAGCTTTTCCATGACTGTTTTGACACTAATTTATGATCTACTTTAAGTCAGTGTAAGGATGTGTGTATGTTTGTGTGTTTGTGTGAAAAGGTCTCACTGTATATCAAAGGTTGGCCTTGAACTTCCTGCTCCAGTTTTTGTTTATTTAGAAGGATGAGACTAGCGAGAGCTTAATAAAATCCAATTTCTTTGATGAAGGGTAGCTAAATTTGTAACATTCACATTATTAATAGAGAAGCTGGTAAACAAAGTTAGAGAAAAAGCAGGATAAAATTCAGACAGAAAACAGTATCTAAATGTGAATGGTATTCTTGACTTTATTTTAGCATTATATATTTAATAAATAACATGTGCTTGAAATAAGTGGATATAGGTAAAAAAAGAGACTCTTCTGGGCTGTGTGAACTTGGGCAAATAATCTATCCTTTGATTTCTAGAAACTGTAAAATTATAAAATGTTAATGTTAGAAATACTACATACTAAATAAAGCACAGAATAACATATCAGATGTGTGTGTATTACTTTTTGTCCCTGTCACAAACACTTGAAAAAACAAGGTAAAAGAAGGAAGGATTTGTTTTGGCTCTCACGTTCAGATGGCTCTGCCTGTGATTGACTTCCTTCAATGCTATGGACTTATGGGAGGCAGAATATCTAGAATGTCATGGTGACAAAAACATGGGGCAGATCAAAGTTGCTCATATCATGATTTTCAAGAAGAAAAGGGGGTGATGGGGGGGTCAGAAACACACAGACAGAGATAAGAAGGGGAATAGAGACGGAGGGAATGAGAATTCCTGTACTCTTTCTTCTCCTTTTTGATTTCACAGGCCCCCAGAATATCAGATGGTAAACTCCACATTCAAGGCTGGTCTTCCTTTGTTAACTGTCTCAGAAACACCCTCACAGACATACCCAGTGGTGTGCTTTACTAATCTCCTAGGCCTTCTCTATCCTGGAAAGTTGAGTGAAGATTAACCATCATATAATATGAAAAACTATAGGCCTCTATCTTTTTTCTTTCTTTCTGATACTTGGTTTGAACTCAGGGCCTTGAGCTTGGTAGGCTTCTTTACTCATGGCTGGTACTGTACCACTTGAGCCACACCCCCAGCTCTGCTTTTTTGTCAGTCCTGTGACTTGAAGTCAGGGTCTGGATGCTGTCCCTCAACTTCTTTTGCTCAAGGCTAATGTTTTCTACCACTTAAGCCACAGTGCCACTTATGGCATTTTTTGAGTACTTTTTATTGGAGATAAGAGTCTCATGAATTTTCCTGCCCAGGTTGACTTCGAACCATGATCCTCAGATCTCAGCTCTCTGAGTAGCTAGGATTACAGGCATGAGCCACTGGTGCCTGGCTCCAGCTCTGCTTTTTGTTGGTTATTTTGAAGACAGAGTCACATGAATTTTTTTTTTTTTTTTGCCTATATAGGCTTTGAACCATTCTTCTCTGGATTTCAGTTTCCTGAGTAGATAGAGTAACAGGTATGAGCCAGTGCCACCTATCATTATTTTTCAAGTTATTTACTAGTTTGTGTAATTAATTCATGTGCTATCAAATGAAACAATCAGTGGCTTTGAAGAACCTTGACCTGCTTAAAAAACCAAACTGCAACTTTATGTTTCTGGGGACTGACTTACACTGATGAATGAAGATCAAGCATAATATATGGTAGCATTGTATCCATTGCCTGCTATCTTCTCTCCTTTTCCTTCCCTTGACCTAGTTGATGAGGCAGACAAGCAAGTTTACTTTCCAGGGCCTTTAGGATTTCATCTGACTGTAAACAGTATTCAGCTGTCAGGAGTGCCTGGAGCCCAGAGTTGGCAGGGGAAGTGCTGCTGTGCCAAGCTGTGGAGATGAAAGAGGGTCAATGCAGATGACTACAAGAGAACTGTGGCCAGTGTTGTCATCATTCATCTTCCTTGCCCTTCCCTTTTTCTACATCTAGAGTGCTTGGCCAGGCATCCTCAGCTAACATATTTTTTTTTTCTAGAACTCTGAAGGTGGACTCTATGTATGCATGAATACATTTTTGGCCTTTGGAAGGGAACATGTTGAAAGACATTTTCGAAAAACTGGACAGAGTGTGTACATGCACCTGAAAAGACACATGCGAGAGGTGAGATAACACTTCTGGAGAAGTGAGCTTGCTATCGGCCCTGTGGTGCTATCTGGGTATGCTTTATGTTGCAGAGATTTCATATGCCCAGGTAAATTCTGATTCTCCCATGATGAGAAGCAAGAACAGCATTGTTTGCAGAAATTCACAGGTCACATTCAAACCAGATATATCTTAACCAGTTTTATTTTTCTTTATCTAATGTCTGATTGGAGCTTTCAAGATGGCAGAGTTTGGCTGATTGGAAAATACTAATTTTAAGTAAAAATATAAAAAGCACAGAAAATAATGCTAAACTTATACTTCACACAGATTTAAAAGTCAGAACTAAAAAAACATTTGGATGCTTTTGCTTCAGCCCTTGAGTTCAAGTCCCATGACTGACAAAAAATGTATATATAAAAATTAAATATAAATAAAATAATAAATGATAAAATATAAATAAAATGAACATAATATACAAATAATTATATGTTATAATATATTTTACGCTATATTACACTATATTATAAATGTAAACAAATATAAATATATACATGTATAATATAACAAATATAAATATATATAAATGTATATATATATATATTTGTTGGTCATGGAGCTTGAACTCAGGGCCTGGGTACTGTCCCTGAGCTCTTAGCTCAGGGCTAGTGCTCTACCACTTTGAGCCACAGCCCTACTTCTGGTTTTCTGGTGATTAATTGGAAATGAGTTTCATGGACTTTTCTGCTTGGGCTGGCTTCAAACCATGATCCTCAGGTCTCAGCCTCCTGAGTAGCTAAAATTACAGGCATGAGCCATCGGTGCCTGGCTTTTGCTTCCAATTTTAACTGACAGAAATATGACTTTCCTGAAAAGTCAAGTCCTTTTGGTTTTCCTTGGTTTCCCAGAAAGAACTGCTACTGTGAAATTGTTCTCATTCTCAAGCATGTTACAATATTTTATTTATTTTTACATATGCACGAACAGTATGTAATATATATGACTTTTGACTTTTAAATATGTAGATATATACTGTCACACTATTACCTATTCTGTGTAGTTTTTCCACTCAGTAGTGACTTTGGAACTTACCCTTGTTGAGTTGCATCTGGGAGTTCTCAATTAATTTTAATTGCTCTTTGGTATTCCATTTTATGAATACCTGATAATGTAGTTTGATTTCCTACAGACAGACATTTAGATAATTCCTGTCCTCTTGCTTTCTGAAAAAAATAAAATAACATTTTGGTACATTTCTTCTGAAGGTGCATGTTTAAGATTTTTTTAGGAAAGGTATACAGCAGTATTGCTGACTCGTATTGTGTTTGTTTTGTTCAAGCCCATCTGGGGCCTTGAACTCAGGGCCTGGGTTCTATGAGCTTTTTTGCTCATGTCTAGTGATTGAGCCACAGTCCCACTTTCATCATTTTTTGGTAGTTAATCAGAGATAAGAATCTAACAGTTTCCTACCTGGGTGAGCTTTAAACTGAGATCCTCAGATCTCAGCCTCCCGAGTAGTTAGGATTACAGACATGAGCCATTGGTGCTACCTTATCTTTGCTTTTTTTTTTTTTTTTGTTGATTGTGGAGCTTGAATTCTCGGCCTGGGCGCAGTCCCTCAGCTCTTAAACTCAAGGTTAGCACTCTACCACTTGAGCCACAGAGCCACTTCAGGGTTTTTCTGCTTATGTGGTGCTGAGAAATTGAACCCAGGGCTTAATGCATGCAAGTCAAGCACTCTACCACTGAGCCACCTTTCCAGCCCTATCTTTGCTTTTTATTGGATGAAAATAAATCCATTCTAGGAATAATTATATTCCTATCTTGGCCATATTTGACTTTTGCCAGTTTAGTAGTTATGATAGACATCTAAATAATGAGCAGTGTTAAAAATCTTCTAACATATTTAATGTTAATTTTGTTTTTCTGTTCTCTGCTTGTTTATATATTTTGTTTATATATTTCTTTTTGAGTAATACAGCTTTCACAATTATTTATAGTGGTGTTTTAATTTAACAATGCCCATTTAGATCTATTGTGGGCTATCTGTAGCATTCCATTGATCTTAGAGATTTCTATATATTTATTATTTCTATATTTACTACTTTGTTTACTATTATTTATTGTGTTGCTTTGCTGGCATTAGGGTTTGAATATAGAGGCTGGCCATTTTCTTTTTAGTTTTTTATTCAAGGTTAGTGTTCTACCACTTAAGCCACAGCTCCAATTTTAGCTTTTTAATTTTTTTTCTTTTTTTTTTAAGCTGGGTAAGTGGAGATAAGATTCTCATGGACTTTCTTGCATGGACTGGCTTTGAACTGTGATCCTCAGATCTCCACCTCCTGAGTAGCTAAGATTATAGGCATGAGCCACTGAAGCCTGGTTGACTGTATGTTTTTCTATGTATTATTTCTGGCCAAGATAGGAGTATAAGTACAATGTGACAAAAATGCAAGCCTTAAAATAGGGCAAGCATTCTTCGCATGCTTTTTCTTTTCCCTCACAACTTTATTGGATAAATGTTTTCTAAACATGGACTTTTGAATCAATTCACCTAGTTAAAAATTCTTGTTGAGGGCTGGGATGTAGCTCAGTGGCAAAGCGCTTGCTTAGCAAGCGCAACGTCCTGGGTTCGATCCCCAGTACCAAAAAAGAAAAGACAAAAAAAAAAAAAAATTCTTGTTGAGATTTTGATTAGTCCCTTGGAATTTACAGGTAAATAAACATTTTTGTATAAATTGCATATGGTCAGGGATTTCTTTGGCTTGTGTCCTTCATATTTGATAGTACCTAACATGCCACAGGTGTTTTGCAATTTTTCTTAATGTTCCTGAGAGCTTTTATGCTCAAAGCTAGTTCTCTACCACTTGAGCCACAGCTCCACTTCTGGCTTTTTAGTGGTTAATTGGAGGGACAAATCTCAGGGACTTAACTACCTGGGCTGACCTTGAACCATGATCCTTAGAACCTCAGATGAGAGATTAGGATTACAGGTATGAGCCCTTGGTACCCAGTTTAGAAATATTTTTGAAGCCGGGCGCCGGTGGCTCACCCCTGTAATCCTAGCTACTCAGGAAGCTGAGATCTCAGGGACTGTGACACTCTTTTTTTTTGGGGGGGGGGTACAGTCGTGGGGCCTGAACTCTGGGCCTGGGCGCTGTCCCTCAGCTCTTCAGCTCAAGGCTAGCGCTCTACCACTTGAGCCACAGTGCCACTTCTGGTTTTTTTCTTTTTGCTTATGTGGTGCTGAGGAATCGAACCCAGGGCCTCAGGCTTGCAAGGCAAGCGCTCTACCACTGAGCCACCTTCCCAGCTGGATTGTGACACTCTTATCTCCAGTAAACCACCAGAAAACCGCAAGTGTCACTGTAGCTTAAGTGGTAGAGGGCTTGCCTTGAGTTGAAGAGCTGAGGACAGCATTCAGGCCCACAGTTCAAACCCCATGACAAAAAAAAAAAAAAAAGAAATATTTATGCCCTCCCCCTCCGCCTCCCCCTCAGCGTCTGTCCTTGATCTCAGGACCTGAGCCCAGTCCCTGAACTTTAGTGCCCAAAGCTTGTACTCCAGTGCTTGTACCACAGCTACATTTCTGACATTTTGGTGGCTAATTGGAAATAAGTCTTATGTATTTTCCTGCTCAGGCTGACTTCAAACCATGATGCACAGATCTCAGCCTCTTGAGTAACTAGGACTGGCTGGCATCTTTTTGGTCAACAATATTTCGTATTTTTTTTGTAAAAGTACTTACATTTTGTTACCTGTTCTTTTTTTAAATAGGATGGGGAAATGTTTGCCTTTATTTAATTATTTATTTGTTTGTTTATTTTGCTAGTCTTGGGGCTTGAACTCATAGTGCCTTAGGCACTGTCCCTGAGCTTCTTTTGCTCAAGGCTAGCACTCTTAACTCTTGAGCCACAGCACCACTTCCTGCTTTTTTTGTTTATGTGGTACTGAGGAATCAAACCTTGGGCTTCATGCATACTAGGGAAGTGCTCTGCCACTAAGCTACTTTCCCAGTACTGTTACATTTCTTAAGTGCTGTAAATTTTTTGTTGTTAACATCATTGTTGTCTTCTTTCTTTCTTTTTTTTCATGTTTACTGGTTATTTTTTGCTCATTCTGGGGCTTGAACTTAGAGCTTGGACACTGTCCCTGAGCCTCTTGGTGCTCAAGGCTAGGACTATACCACTTGATCTACAGTGCCACTCAAATCTCAGCCTCCTGAGTAGCTAGGATTACAGGTGCAAGCCTGTAAAGTGTCTGGCTGTTTATTGGTTATTGATGTTACTAATGTTCATATCTCCATTTTATGTAGTCGTAATACTTGGCGGACTATTTTGGATCTTCTAAAATAACTCTGATTTGCATTTAATCTCTCATATTAGCCTACCTAGTATGTTAAGAACAAGGCTAGGAAGTCACATAAGTCATAAATCAAGGAGTAGCTTAAATTAAAATTATATTAAATATAATAGGTTACTTTTTTAAACAACTAACTTACAGTTTAACAAAATAAATATCAGGCTGAAACATATGTTGTGGGAGGGGTGGAGATCAAGGGGAGGGAGGGAAGATGAATGGAGAGAAGAAGGATGAGTGAGTTCAGTTACAGTATTAATGGACATAGGTAAAAATGGAACCAGGTAACTTGAAGCTACTGGTGTAGTTCAGACGTGATTAAAGGACTAACATTGATCAAGAAACATTGTATACACAGATTGACATATTTGATTGAAATTCCTTTGGATAGCTACTTCAAAGGTCTCTGCCACTGCTTAGCACCTACCACACAGTATTTCATAAATTTGAGACTGCTAAAATGTGAATTGCAAACATATAGAAGAAACTGCAAAAATTTAATTTGAAATCAATCATAGAGATGAATTATTGGCATTCAGTAGAAAACACTAAAATGTTGAAAAGGAGATTTAGGACTCCTAAGACAAATTAAATGTGAAGTCAAATTAAGAAAATACAGAATGTGTGGTATGGCTTTTAGAAAAAAAATCATATACAATTACTCAATGAGAAAGGTGCTCTTCTCTTATAACTGAAAGAAAAGGTACAGTATGGAAATGGTTTTGGCCAATTGAAACAATTATTATAATTCCATTTGAAAGTAAAGTTATTTGTATGAGTATCAGATGAATAATTTCTTTCATCTGCCTATTGATGGATGATTATTCATTTCTGCATACTGAAAATACATGAAGCTTAGAATGGCCCTATAGCCACCTAGTGGTACTCTGAAAAGATTTAGAGAAGTTGGAATGATGCTTCATATGTCCAGAATGCCAGTGACTCCTTTATGATCATATTGTTGTGGGTAACTGGGACCAACACTGGCATCCTCCTAGGTAGCCAAAGAACAGGGCCCCCACATTCTGTCTTTTTCCCTGAGTCTGTATTCTGGTATGGATTTTGGCCATTCTGGGAGCACATGCTAATTGAAATTTAAGCATGTACTTCGCCTTGATCACTGGTTTCCAAAAATGCTCTCTTTGTAACTTGGTGAACATGATCTGGAGAGGCAATTTCATGGACCTGGCTCCAGTTCCTGTTTATCCTGGAATTATAAGTCCTGTTAATCTTAGACTCCAAGATAAACTGTAAGAACTGGGAACGTCTAAGCTGTACACTTCCTTCTTATACTGTTTTGTAGGGTGTATTTTAACGATCTTTTATTTTCTTTTCAGAAGGTAAGAGGGGCATCTGGTGGAGCTTTACCAAAAAGGAGGAATTCCAAGATTTTTTTAGGTATGTCATTAGTTTTCAATGATGTCCCTAGATTGTGAGTGAGTGTGTATGTATGTATGTATGTATGTATGTTTGTGTTTATCTGCATATGCTTATCTGATTTAGGTAGTAGACTCCTTACTGCTTTATAATCGAAGAGACAGATTTACGTTGAAACTTGCTCTACTTTATTTACTACTGGTGAAGGATGTTTTGAGCAGTCTTGGTTGGATTTAGTGCTTTGAAGCAATTCTAGTAACTAGAGCATAAATGTGATCCTGCTTTTGATCTCTTTTTATTGACATTAAAGAACAGCACATATTTTATTAATGCAATTTATTCCATTATTTTTATTAGCTAAACTGCAGGTTTAATTAGGATTTCACCAGTTTTTCTATTATTGTTCTTTTTTAGTTACAAGATCCAAAGTAGGATCCCACATAATACCTAGTTTTCAGTTTTTCTTGACCTTTTCAAATTTGTGATAGTTCTGTGGGCCTTGTCTTTAATATTGTGACACTTTCAAAAAATATTGGATAGTTACTTTGTAGAATCTAATGTAGTTTGGATCTGTCTGGTGAAAAGAGTAAAGCTATGCATTTCTGGCAAGAATATCATCGAGGTAGTTTGTCCTTGGTGCCTGATATCAGGAGGCATGTGATGTGATATATCTTCATATTGGTGATATTGAATTTGATTTCCTGTTAAGGTAGTATCTGCTGGTTTCTATGCTGTAAAATTACAGTAAATTAATAAACAGCTTGGGAGTACTTCTTTGAGATTAGGGCAGTGCCTTTTTTTTTTCTCTGCAGAGGTTAGCTGATTAATTTTAGCACTTATCAGTGGTTCTTGCTTGCAACAGTTATTACTGTGGTGTTTGTCTAAAGGTGATGGTTTAATTTTCCTTAACCAATCTTGCTTGTGTAAATGACTAATGGTTTCTATACTTTGTAATTATGGCCCTGTTTTGTGTTAAGCTTCTGATATAATTTTCCCAAGAGAACAAAATGGTTTGATATTGTTTGACCAAGCAAGTTTTTCTCTTTAAATACCTTGGATTATTATTTGAAAGAAATTTCAAAACCATTTACATAGTATAATTGCATTCCAGTAAAAAATGTGAATGTAATATTTTACATATATGTGAATGTGTGTATGTCTATGTACACATGTATGTACACATACACATATCTGAGTATGTCATATGTACACACAGAGTATACCTGAGTCTAGAAGAATATACTCTAAATTGTCAATGATATGCGTCATTATATTTAGCTTCTTCTTTCCTTTCTCCCTCTCCTTTTATCATCTCCTATGTTCTTCCTGACTTTCTGTGTCTCTGCCTCTTTTTCTATCTCTCCTCTCTCTCTCTCTGGGGTACTAGGCTTTAAACTTGGTAGACACAGATGCTGTACTGCTTGAGCCATACCTCTGGGTCTATGTGCTGTAGTCATTTATTTAATTTTTTTGGTGCTGGTACTGGAGCTTGAACTCAGAGCCTTTTACTCTTGCTTGGCATTCTACAACTTGAGCCACACCTCTAGTATAACATTTTGATGGTTAATTTGAGATGGAGTCTTGTGAGCCTTTCTTCTGAGACTGGCTTTGAACTCAGATCCTCAGATCTCAGCCTTCTGCGTGGCTAAAAGGTATGTGCTACCTGCTGTGGTTATTTTTCAGATGGAATCTTGCTTTTATTTATACTAGCAATCCTATTTACATTTTCTGTGGTTTCCGAGATGATAGGATACATCATCATGCACAGAATTTTCTGTTGAGATGAAAGCTTGTGATTTTTTTTTTTTTGTACAGGCTGGCCTGGAATTTAAAACCTCCTGATCTTAGCCTCCCATGTAGCTGAGATGTTAGGCATATCCTACTGTACCCAGAATGTGATTGACATGAAGTCTCAGGAACTTTTTTTCTGTGCTAAACTTGAATTGTCATCTTCCTAATTTTTACCTAGTGAGTAGCTATTGGCATGAGTCATTGGCATGTGGCTCAGCTAATTTTTTTTAAAATAACAAATATATGTTATTCTTATAATGAATTATCTCAAAAGTATAGCCATTGAAATTGTCACAGAGCTGTTTACTTCCTGGCTTGATTCTTATTCTAGGCTGGGTTCAAACCACATCATCTCTACTGCTTTTCAGCTCTTGATTTTCTTGAGGAGGCTTATCTGCAGTTGATTTTCCATTGCTGGCCAGTCTTTTTCACATTAGTTTTTAGCTTTCCAGCTCCCTTCCACAAATACATAGGTAATGTGACTTCTTTCAATTAAATGACACCTGCATGGCCTTCTTGAAGTTAGAAATAAGCATTTTGACTTACTGTTGTTATTTTTAATTGCTTTCTTTGGTTACATAAAGTTAGCTGACCTCTTCTGTTACAAAGAGATTGATTTTTCTGGTGATTATTTTGAAGTAGAAGATATTGGACAACTTTTAAAAATTAATTCAGGGCTGGGCCCTGGTGGCTCATTCCTGTAATTCTAGCTACTCAGAAATCTGAGGATTGCAGTGTGGGGGAAAAAAAACCAAAAACCAAAACCAAACAAACAAAACCAAATCAATATCCTGAAGTGGAACATAACTCAAGTAGTAGAGTACTAGCCTTGAACAACAAAACTCCCTCTTTTCCTTCCTTCCTTTCTAACTTCCTTCCTAACTTCCTTCTTTCCTTATTTCTCCTCCTCTCCCTCCTCCTTCTTTACCTTTTTCATCTTTGTCTTTGTCTTCCTTCTTCTTTCCTTTTCTTCCTGAGCTGGTTTTTAACCATGATCCTTGTATCATTTCCTAATTAGCTAGTATTACAGGAGTGTCTCCAGCAGCCATCTTAGCTGTTGGTCTGTTTTCTCAGCAGGAAGCACTTTTCTCATGTGGCGCTAGTCACTCGGTGTTCCAGTGGATGTGGCTGTAAATTTATTTCCATAGTGGGTTGCAATTGAATGATACCCAAGTTAGGTAACAGGAAGCACAGAATATAGGTAACTTTAAGCAGCACAGATGCTAAGTCTCTCTCTATGTGGAAGGTGTTGGGAGCAGCAAACCCAGACTATGTAGTCTCATATCCAGGAATCTGTGAACTCGTCCCCTATTGCTGCTTTTTTCTCAGATATGACCTCTGATTTCCAGCCTCATGGCAACTTAATGGTCCTACATAGCTTTTTGAACTTTAGCCATCACAGCCCCATTTGCAAAATGGAAAAGAGGAAATGGTGTGGGGTCGGGAGGCTATGGAAATCTCATTTTTAAATGTACTTTCCTTTTGTTAGCCTTCTTATAGGTCTTCACTTGCTTTACCTTCCTCTGGTCAGAATTTGGTCACATGATCACAACCTGCTACACAGGAAACTCACACCTTAATAAAGTTGGAGATTTCTTATTAAAGAGGGAAGGAACAGTGGGTACTGGGAAGTAGCTAGTACTTCTGCTATAGACATTTACCATTCTAAAAGAGACCTTGAGGCTGTTTCCTCCTGGAGATAAGAGTAAGTCAGAGCTCTCTTGCAGTTTCTCTTTGTGCCTGAATAGAAAGTAATATTTCAGCATTACTGACATGTAGCTGTTATAACACTCCTCATTCCCTTTCAGGAAATAGTCACCATTAGCCAATTCTTTATACTGGATAGAGACTTACATTGTTATGGGGAAGAGCCCACCACTCAGAGACAGCCTCATATTGGGGAAGTGGATAGCTAACTGGCGAGGGACACAGCACAGACTCGGGAGCTGAAACTGACTCCAAACGGCCCATAAGCTAGGGTTTTTAAAGGCAAAATCCATGTGCTCAAACATGGCCATACACAGGTTGCCAATGGGATTGTAACACACACACACACACACAAAGATTGCATATTTATTTCAGTGGCCAGTTCGGTTACAGTTCATTTCATAGTATCTGTTTGAACTAACCTATCATTCTGGTTTGAATTGGCATGCAAATTTGGGGGGTCCCCACACAAAGCAGGCTTGATAACCAAACAGGGCTGAGATCCTGTCTGGGCTATTGAGATCCTGTCTGGGCTATTGATAACCAAACAGGGCTACATATCACACAATTTATCACAACAATCTTAAGGACTTTCCAGTTTCCACATTTCCATAGCCATCTAATCTTTGATAAGGGAGCTAAAAAAATAGAATGGAAGAAAGACAGCCTCTTCAGTAAATGGTGCTGGCAAAATTGGTTAACTACTTGTAGAAAACTAAAGCAAGATCCTTATATATCACCCTGCACCAGAGTCAACTCCAAATGGATCAAAGACCTCAGAGTCAAAGCAGACACTCTGAAAACATTACAGGATGGAATAGGAGAAACCTTGGCTCAGGCTGAAATTTTCTTAATAGAGACCCGGAAACACAACAAATCAAAGAAAGGTTGGACAAATGGGATTGCATGAAGTTGCAGAGCTTCTGCATGGCAAAGGACATAGCTAGCAAGATCAATAGAAAGCCCACGGATTGGCAAAAGATCTTCACTAGCCATACAATGGACAAGGGTCTTATATCTAAAATATACTTGGAACTCAAAAAATTAAATCCCCCAACAACAAATCCTCAAAGAAGCAACTGCCCAATAAATAAGTGGGCTAATGACTTAAAGAGAAACTTCTCTGGGGTCTCAACAAACAGCATATTTCCTGACCCTGGGGCTTGTGAAAAAGCAGTATTTTATTTGGGGGTGGAGGGGGACTCCCAGTATATAAAAAATAGAGTTAGTTTGGCTCTCCCCCAAACTCCTCCCTTTTCTCTTGTAACTGAGTCAAATCCTTGACTCTTCTTTCTGATTCAGGGGGCTGTACTGGGCCTCACGGACCATCAGCTTGACAGTCCCAATCCTGACTCTGCATATCACAACTAGCTTAATTTTACACCATAATTTTATACTCATAAGCTCTATTTTTATAAGACACACTCATACCATTTAATACATATTTAAACTTTCTGAGGTTTGTTTTCTTCTTTTTCACTCTGATACAAAAGCACTTTAAGACAATCCTTACTTTTTAAATC